TAATGATTTTTTTTAATTTAATATTTTTTAATAATTATTTTATTTAATATTTAGGTATTTCTTCTTAATTTCATATAATTTTTTTTATACCAAAATTAGAGTAAGAATTTGTTTTTAAATTCTAAACAAATAATTTACCTTCAAAATATTTTTTTTTATTAATTCTACATGCAAAAATTAAAAAATAATTATTAATGCAATTTTTTAAAATTAATTTCTTCTTTGAAAAAAAAGTAAAAATTTTTTAAGGATCACCATAATAATGAATTTAATTTTTTTGAAAAATTAAAGATTGAAAATTTTGAAAAGAAGCTTATTAAAAATTTTTTTTTCAATTCTACATGCAAACATTTTTAAAAATCATTAATGCAATTTTTAAAAATATTTTTTTAACATCAATTTCTTCTTTAAAAAATTTTTTAAGGATCACCATAATGATGAATTTAATTTTTTAGAAAAATTGAAAATTAAAAATTTTAAAAAGAAGCTTATTAAAAAAAATTTTTTTAACTCTACTTGCAAAAATTTTTAATGCAATTTTTAAAAATATTTTTTTAACATTAATTTCTTCTTTAAAAAATTTTTTAAGGATCACCATATTGAAGAATTTAATTTTCTTAGAAAAATTGAAGATTGAAAATTTTGAAAAGAAGCTTATAAAAAAATATTATTCTGATGTTTACACCCCTCAGCAATTATCCATAACTGGATTATACTGTAATACGTAAGCTTCTGAGAAGAGAATAATTTAAAATATTCAATAAAAACCAGTAAGTTTTTTTCAGTAAGTATGCATTAATTACTACTGGTCTTAAAATGCTTAGAGCATCAGATCATTGATTAAAACGACTTATTATAAATTTTATTTTATTTATTTTCAATAAAACCAGCTGGTATTGTATATTTAATGGGAGATGGGAGTATATACGTGGGCAATAAATACAGCGATGTATCTAACCAGTATAAGTACGGGCACCCTCACCTGTTCTCATCTGCAGCTGCATTTGATGGTAAGAACAACATAGCGGACAGTAAACAGGTTGATGTGTGCAATATACATATATATATATATATACTTATCTTAGCTTATATATTTCTATATATAGACCGATATCTTCTTGACAAATTATTATCATCTCCCGGAAACTTGTTTCTTCTCAATTAAACGTGACGATGAGAGTTTTATTCCCGATCCTCTAGTATTATTTTTAATTCCCGTGAGTATGTAATGCTAATTTATTTTATAATTATATACTTATTAATCAAGTAGGGAGCCAGATGAAGAATGATGATGATGATGATACTCGTATACTTATGCTGACATTCGATAGAAGCCGATACGAGGTAAACAAGTATTCTCTACAGTCCAGAGAGTACTTTCGGTACGCGGCAGACAGCGCGTCGCCCAATCTCCTGACTTGTTCATATTCTCACTACTTCTTGTGTATTAGAGCTCGAGATATAATACCAGTTACATCAACTCCCGTCGATTCAATTGTAGCAATATATTATTATGTTAATGCCTTTTTATTTAATTTATCACGTTACAGCATCTAGAATTGAATTCTTGGAAATAGTCAAGATTTTTATCTTTATTATTGAGAGAATAAGAAAAATTTTGTTTCCAGGAAAGTCATATGATAAAATCGGTTTTTTTTAGTGAAATTTAGTGTGATTGCAATGGTCTTGACTTGAATTTGTGCCTTTTCAAGGTTTCATATCGTTCTCACCAAAAGTCAATTTATTATGATAAGAATTTTGGCTACATTCGAAAATAATCTATCTCTAGATACATAATTAAGAAATGACCTTGTATCTTGTGAAATATTGACATTTTTAGAGATATAAGCTCATCCCGATGTTACACTCATCGAGACCTTTCATTTGAGTACTCACATCAATTTTTCATATATTTTATATATTTATATATATTATATATATGTATATATGAAAATGCATGCGGGTATTCAAATGAAAGCTCTTAATGAGTGTAACACCGGAATGAGCTTACATCTTTAAAAATATCAATAATTAAAAAATGACCTGGTATCTTGTGAACGACTGACATTTTTAAAGATATAAGCTCACCCTGACATTACACTCATCAAGACCTTTCATTTGAGTACCTACATAAATTTTTCATATATTTATATGTATTATATATATGTATATATAAAAATATATCAAAATGCATGTGGGTACTCAAATGAAAGCTCTTAATGAGCGCAACATCAGGATCAGCTTACATCTTTGAAAATATCAATAATTTAGAAATGACCTTGTATCTTCTGAACTATTGACATTTTTAAAGATATAAGCTCATTCCAATGTTACACTTATCAAGACCTTTCATTTGAGTACCCACATCAATTTTTCACATAATTTATATATTTATATATATTACATATATGTAT